TCCTTTCTCCTCTCACGTAACTGATCTCTCCCTCTCACGTAACTCAGTTTTGTACTCAACTAATGGGCCGGGTTGGTTATTTTCACTTTGGGTCGTCTAGCCCGATTCTAACAATTAACCCATTGGACCTAAAATAACACAAGAATTGCACTCTAACCTCTAGGATGGTCAATGTTCTTTCTTGATCTTAAATTAAACCAAATTCTCACTAATGGTGACCCAAAGATTAGTAAATGTAAGGGAATTTAAAGACTACAAAAGAGCCTAACAAAATCCCCCACACTTACTTCTTGGCCGTCCTCGGCCAAGTTGTAAAATGCAAGTATAGAAAGCTCATCATCTCATTGCTGTACGTACATTCCTCCTTTCTCTTATTCTAAAGTCCGACCAAATGAACTAATGTAGAATTCTCAACCTTCCCAACTCAAATTGCACCAAAATTGCATGATGTAGTTTCCTTAGGAATGCTGACTGTTTAAATCGAATCTAGAGTGGCTGACTTCTTTTTCATGAGAAGGTGATCCCACAATCCTTTTTGAATGAGGCCAAAGTCCCAATTGTCCTTACTGTTACTAAACTGCCCCTTTTCAACCCTCAAGCTACAATTCTCCAACTCCCATGTAGCAGGATTTTTGGTCAAGCTACTCCAGGCCCATTCCAGATAGCCCGGGACTTAGATAATCAAGGTATCCCATGGACCTCACCCGAGAGAAAGAGAACTGATAAACTGAAAAATGTGTGGGAGTTTCGGAATTGAGTACGGCCCAAAATAGGGGTTTGCCCTTCCAATTGAACTCTGCTCCATACACATTGTTGCTTAAGGGGACAGAGATGCCGGGCCACCAATGCCAAGTCCAAAAGGTTTTTCCCACACACATTCAAGCTTATGAGTCTAGAGAGGTAGCAAAAAACAGTTTGGGTTAGGTCTTAATGACTCCACTCTAAAGGTTGCTGTTTTAAGGGTCTTCTCAATCAGCAAAATCAACCAACCACCATAGAATCCAACTCAAAACAGCCAGGCTAACAGTCACTAAAAAAAAATCTGCACCAGAATTTTAGTGCAACTCAATTTGGGAGTTTGAAAGCTGTACACTGCTCAAAAGGACATTCCAGAATGAGAGCCAGAAGCAATATTCATTCAGACATTCTAAGAAGCATTTCCCTTCCTATACTTGGTCCTCCACAACTTAGCTGAGAATTGGAGACCATAATTGATGGTTTGGTTTAATCTCAAATCCAGAAAGAAGCACACACATCACTGAAGGTTAAAAGGGAGCATGCAACCTACTGTGTCTAGAGGGAATGGGGTTATGCTTACAACCTAAAGCCAACCAAGTCTACCCCCCCACACTTAAGGTGTGGCACTGTCCTCAGTGCCACTGGTCTGGTCAGGTCTGCCAATCACACAATCACCAAGTCACACTTCCTAACTAGCGCATCACACCCTCCCCCACTTTCCTTGAACTACAGGAAGTAGGGGACAGAGGTTCATCACTGGTTCCATAAGGGAACCAGCTTCCCTGTTCAATGCTGCAAGCACAGTCACTAGTCCATTATTACAAGCAAAGTAAAAAAAAACAGAACACTGGGTTGCCTCCCAGGTAGCTGCCCTGTTTAAAGTCCTTGGCCAGACTCTTTCTCAAAGTGCTTCAGACAGCTTCCAACCTCAAGCTGTCCACAACCTCCTCTTGTTGTCCCTCATGAAACAGTTTTAACCTGTGCCCATTCACTTTGAAACACTTGTTAGTAGCACAACTTCTAATGTCAACAGCACCATAATCATACACATGGACAACTGTAAAAGGACCTAGCCACTTAGACTTGAGCTTTCCAGGAAACATTTTCAGTCTTGATTTAAACAAAAGTACCTTGTCACCAGTATGAAATTCTTTCTTTCTCAACTGAGAATCATGCCATATTTTTGTCTTTTCTTTGTATATGACTGAATTATCATAAGCTTCAAGTCTAAGTTGCTCTAATTCAACTAGCTGCAACAGCCTCTCCTGCCCACTAAGGTCAGACTCAAGATTGACCTCTTTAATGGCCCAGAAAGACTTATGTTCCAATTCAACAGGAAGATGGCAAGCCTTTCCAAAAACTACCCTATAAGGGGACATGCCTAAGGGTGTTTTAAAGGCTGTTCTAATTGCCCACAGAGCATCTTCAATTCTCAAACTCCAGTCCTTCCTATCTGGCCTAACTACCTTTTCAAGGACTCTCTTGATTTCTCTGTTTGAAATTTCTACCTGCACATTACACTGAGGGTGATATCCAGTAGAAACCCTTTGTGTAATGTGATACTTAGCACAGACAGCTGACATGGTCTTATTACAGAAATGAGTGCCCCTATCACTAATCAATGCTTTAGGTATGCCATACCTATTCAAAATGAGTTCTCTTAGTTTTTTAACCACAGTTTGAGAGTTATCATCCCTAGTGGCCACTGCCTCTATCCATTTAGACAGATAATCAACAAAAACCAAGATGTATTGAAAACCATTTGAAGGAGGAAATGGTCCCATGAAATCCATACCCCAGATATCAAAAATCTCACAAACAAGGATGGAGGTTAAGGGCATTTGATCTCTTTTAGTTAAAGAACCTGTTTGCTGACACCTAGGGCATTTTTTACAAAATTCAGCAGTGTCCTTAGACATGGTGGGCCAGAAAAAACCAGATTCAAGGATCTTATGAACAGTTCTTTTAATACCCAAATGTCCCCCAGACTCTAAAGTATGACAAAATTTTAGGATAGAGGGTACTTCATTATAATCCACACATCTCCTAATGAGTAAATCAGAACAGAATCTCCACAAAAATGGTTCTTCCCAGTAGTAATACCTTGACTGAGCTTTGAGTTTACATTTCTCAGATTGTGGCATGCCTACAGGAAATTCTCCAGTAACCAAATAGTTGACCAACTCACTATACCAAGGCAACACTTTCACTGCATATAAAGACTCATCAGGGAATAAACCAGTGAAAGGTGTCTGGTTGTTAGAGTATAAAACTCTGCTAAGATGGTCAGCTACTTGATTCTGCAGGCCTGGTCTATCTTTGAACTCAAGTAAGAACTCTTGAATTAGAAGCATCCACCTAATCAGTCTAGGCTTAGATTCCCTCTTAGCCATCAAGTATTTAATGGCAGCATGATCAGTGAAAATAGTGACCTT